GCCTCCTGTGCCGCCTCACTTTCTTGAAAGATTTCAATTTTTATTCCATCAATTCCTGGTGCCTTGTTCTTTGCCAATTCCTTCAATTCACCTTGGATTTCTTCCTTCATTATCATTGGTTCTTGATCATATGCTACCTCTTGAAATGACTGAACATCAACCATTTCCCTTTGGTACAGTGACTCTGTGTATTCTTTCCATCTTCTTGTGATGCTTTCTGCATCATTCAATGATTTGCCCGGAGAATCTTTCAATAACGAAAGTAGAGGCTTGAATTTTTTCTTCAGTTACCCCAGCTTGAGAAATGCTGAACGTGTTCTTCCTTTTTGGTTTTCTGACTCCAGATCTTTGCACATTTTGTTCTAATATTTGTCTTTATCTTCTCGAGTTGATCTTTGAAATTTTCTGTCCTAGTAAGACTTAAAATGGACTAAAATGTTCAGGGTTATTATTCTCATACATGAGGTCAGATTATGAGATTTTCTTTTTTATATCTTCTAAATTTCTATGTTGTTGTTGTTGCTAAGTGCCATTGAATTGGTTCTGACTCATAGCAACCCCGTGTAGGGTTTCTGAGGAGCGACTAGTAGATTGAACAACAAATGTCTTCCTGTTCTATGATGCTGTCTTTAACTCTGTTGCCAAGAACTGTGCATTACATATTGTTGTTGTTGTTAAGTGCTGTTGACTCTGTTCTGACCCATAGCAACCCTATATAGGGTTTCCAAGGAGCTGCTGGTGAGCTCGAACCACCGACCTTCTGGTTCAAACTGACTTTGCAGTCTAGTGCATTAACCCACAGCACCACACCAGGACTCCTAATATGTATTGCATATTAGGTACTCAATAAATTTGTTCAGTTAATTAAAACTCTACCAGAGTTTCTTCACGATATAATCTTTTTATTCCTCTTATATAAGCAAAACATCATTAAAAAACAGTGGTGTGTTTAGATTTTTAAGAATGGTTTCATAAAAAGCAAATGTTATGCAGAAAGATGTTGGATTTTCATAAATTGTGTTCACTTTTTAAAGCTAGGCTAGTAAATTTATCTTATTGCTTTGCTCTTGCAGCCCTGCCAAGCCCAAACATGTGGAACTAAATCTTAAAAACTCCAAAAATCTTGACAGCTTGGGAAATGAGCATAATTCATTTAGCCAGCCAGTTCACAAGGGAAACACTGCCACCAAAATCTCCTTGTTTGAAAACAAACGGGCCAACAATAGTCCACGACATACTGATGCTCGAGGCACCAAGAACATTCCTCCCTCTAATAAAACATTTGTTGGGCGGGCAAAACTAAATTTAGCCAAAAAAACCAAGGAAATGGAGCAACCTGTAAAGAAAGTAATGTCAACCAGTCACCAGAATGGTGTGCTCCTGAAGGAAAGCCTCGTAGAAACCAAAGTTGCTGTCCCTGAAGAGGATGCTGTGACTGGGAGTCCTGGTGTAAGAGGAACAGAAGGAGATTCTACCAAGGATCAAACTCTAGGTTCTCAGCTTAACCAAGGAGATAAAGCAGATGTGCAAACAGGTGCTGCCTGCCCTTCAGAACCAGTGGTTGCTGCTCTGGTTCCTGTCAAGGACCACAAGCTCTTAGGAGAGGATCACTCGAAGGCTGCTGACAACAAAGGACTTGTACTTGGAAATATGACTGATACATCACAAGATGTTCCTGTCATCCTTGATACCAAAGGTTCACCTCCAACAGCCATAACAAAGCCACAGGATACCTTTTCTGACTCACAGCCCTCTGATGAGTTATCTAATGGGCCTTCTCTTTCACCATCTGCACCCATTCCTATGGATGTTCCCAAAGACGTTTGTGCTCAAGTTCCCTTATGCAATTTCCCAAGCACTGATATAAAAGGGTCAGAAAACCATAATGGCTGTGATTTGCTTGTGTCTCATCAGAATAGTGAGAACATGCCCCTCTCCAAACTTGCTGAAGGAAGAAGAGGAGAAGAAGTAAGCCCTCCTTTGTCCACAGAAGCTTTGGGAAATGAGGGTCCCTCTAAGGTTCTTGTCCAGGTCAGATCTTTCATGCTCCCCATGGAGAACACCCAGGATGTAAATTCCCAGATAATCTCGGATCGTTCTGAAATTAGAGAAGTGCAGTTGGCAAGTTTTCACAATAATGAAATTGAAGTAGTTTCTGTTGCAAGTTGTGTTCCCCATAAAGAGGAAGTTCTGGGCAATAAGAGCACGTCACTCAAAAACACACATTGCAAAGAGGAACATGTAGCAAATTCTGGCTCACAAGGCACACCGCTAGAGTCAGAGAAAGTTCTGTCTATCCAGGGCCCAAGTCAGGGCAACAAAACAGCCGTGATGGCTGAATCCAGCCCTACCCACTTTTCTTACAGCAGAAAGAATTTAGAAATTCTGCAAAGGCCAGATCAAAATGTAGTGAATGGTCAGGACTGCCCTGATGGTCATTTGAACATTTCTGCTTGTAGTGATGATAGTGTATTCGATTCTTCTTCTGATATGGAAAAATTCACGGAAATTATAAAAAAGATGGACAGTTCAATTTGTGTACCCCAAAAGAAAAAGAAGCCTAGAGTGCCAAACTCCCCTGCACCTCATTTTGCCATGCCACCTATTCATGAAGACAATTTAGAAAAAGTCCTCGATCCCAACTTGTTCACTGTTGGTTTGGGGAAGAAAAAGGAAAGTCAGCCAGATATTTCACCGGCTTTACAGCTGATGCAGAACCTGGACACAAAATCCAAACTGAGGCCCAAACGTGCATCCACCGAACAGAGTGTCCTCTTCAAATCCTTGAGCACCAACACTAATGAGAAAAAGGATCCCGTGGTGGCTCCAGAAATAAACGAGAAAGAGAACAGAGACACCACGAACAGTGGAGTTAAGAGATCTAGGCTGGAAAAGAGTGCGCTTTTTTCAAGCATGTTATCGTCTGCTCAACCACAAGACAAAATCTTTTCTCCTTCTGTGACATCAGTCAAAACCATGACCACGTCTTTCTGCACTTCTCAGAACAGTTCTCTTTCTCGGTCTTCAGTGTTACAGCCCAGAACTGAGGGTGCCCCACCCTGTGGTTCAGACAAAGAGCCACCTAATCCACCCAACAACTCCTTGAAGGTCTTCAATTTCGACTCATCAACTACATCTCATTCTGGTTTAAAAAGTCCAAGCTACATGGACAAATATCTGCAAAAAGAGGAAGCCAAAAAAGATCTGGATTCACGAAGCAACCTAAACTTGCCAGAAACCAAATTTTCTGAATTTTCAAAACTAAAGAACGGCGAAGATACTGAAAAAGCTAATCACCTTGAAACTGTTCTTAAACCAAACCTGCCAAACTTTGCAAACAGTGACACAGACTTCATGGGTCTTTTCAAATCCAGCCGATATGACCCCAACATTTCTTTGTCTGGAATGTCATTATCAGATACAACAGTAAGTAGCAACATATTATGATTTGTTTGGGGGTATTTATAAAATGAGAGGAAAGAAGGATGGTGAGCAGTTCATGTTATTCTTTTAGAAATGCTTGTGTTCATGTATGACAGCTTCCTATTCATTTGTCACGTATTTGAAACCTTACTAGGTATCAGGGATTGTTAAGGTTCAAGAACAAAGGCAATAAGATTACACTCTCAAGGCATTTGTAATCTATCAGGGACAATAAACTATGAATGTTTTAAGGGACTTGCAGATTTATACATTATATTATCAAAGGTTCTTAGAGAGTTCAAAAGCAGCTAAGATGCCTTTTGTTATCTCATTTTGTGTTGTTGTTGTTAAGTGCTATCAAGCTGGTTCTGACTCATAGAGACCCTATGTTGGGGTTCCACAGAACAGCGACTGGTGAGTTTGAACTGCCGACCTTGAGATTCAAGCTGACCTATGGTCCAGTGCTTTATCCCACAGCACCACCCCAGGACTCCAGTTTTATGTAGAAATGCTCAGTTCTCTGTGGTAGTGGAAGTAGAATTTTAAAGGCTTATGAAGCAGTGCTCTTATTTGGGAAGACCCCAGCCTAGGAATTCTTTTGCTCTGTAAGAATCATTCTTTCTTCTCATAGGTAGCAATAAGTATTTCTGCCATGCTGTCGAGAGAGTATTTTCTCCTTATTTGTAATTAGTTTTCATCTGGGAAATATTTTTTCCTGAAAGATTATAGGGTTTACATTGGCTCTTTCCTTTAAGCTTATACACTAGAAAGGGCAACAAAATATGATTTTGAGGACAATTATGAAGATTTTTCTATCTTATCTGATTGCCAGTGATTTTTGTTTTGTTTTTTTTTTGCTCAGTATTTGATGTAAATGTGTGCCCTTTTGCTACCAAACTTGCTACTCGATGGAAGACAATGAAAGAGAAAGACTGAATATGAAGTGTTGAGAAACCTGGGCTAACAGTTGCTATGGAGTTGGTTCTGACTCATGGCCACCTCATGTATGTCAGAGTAGAACTGTGTCTCATAGGGCCCTTCTTCCAAGACCTTTATTCCAGACCTTTTTCTGAGACATCTCTAGGTAGACTCAAACTGGTTAGCAGTTGACTACATTAACCATTTGCACCACTCAGGGCTCCAGATACAAGGATGGACCTCTGTATTCTGGTGAAGACCCCACCCCCCACCCCCCAGTGAACCAGGCTATTTGGCTAGTGTGGACAGTAGGCATGACCCCTTGTGTATGCAGAGCACTGCAGCATGCTTTAATTTGTTGTATTGGCTTCTGCTACAAGATTACTAAAGAATGTAATTTTGGAAGCTCTTTCAAAATCTGTAGTTGGGTTTCTAGCAAAGGTTCAGCTCCCCTTTTTATGAGATTTTCTAAACCAATAGGTCTCAAAAGTTTTTGGCCTCAAGACTCCTTTACACTTTTTAAAAGTATTGAAGACCCCAAACAGCTTTTATTTACATGGACTATACCTATCGATATTTACTGTGTCAGAAATGAACACAGAAAAATGTAAAGCCCAAGAGCACAGTCTATCAGTCATCGGCAGTACAGAGTCGTCATGAGCCATGGGGGCTCTGGGAAGCACCACAGTGCACTACTTGGGAGAGAACAAGTGAAAGAAGGGGACTCTTCCTGTTATTATAACAATTATCTTGATCTCCTGGACCACTTCCCCCCAAAAAAGATCTTAGGACCTCTTCTGGGGCCCTGAAGCACACTTTGAGAGCTATTGCTGCAAACAAAATAGAACCAGTCCATTACACTCAGAAGGAATGATATTCTTCAGTATTTCTCAGAAAATGCCTACTGGTTTGTTTGATCACTGCTGTGCTCCCTTGTTTATCATTCCTAGATCACTTATCTTATTTGACAAAACCCCTTAACTGAGTCTGATGACAGAATGTGCCTAGTGTTTCTACGAAGTCCCTTGAAAACCAAGCCAAGCAGAGTAAAAAGAATCAAAATGCTTTATACTTTCATAAGGCTTAAAGGCGGATTGTTTTGTTTTTGCTTTGGTCCAGGACTTTGTTGACTATGTAACTCCCTTATCCTTACTGTCTTGTTGGAATTTTATTTTAGAATTCAGGTGTTTTCTTCAGCTTATCAACTTCTTATGTATATATAAAAGTAAATAAGTATGTGCTATTTTGCTTACTCATAATTCTCTGTGGAAATCTTCCTAAAGGACTTTCTGGCATATTCTACTCCTGTCTGATGCATGCTGTAAAGAGTGATTAGATCAAAGGCAGTCCTTAGACTCTGCATTCTGGTCAGCATTGAAAGTAGTCCATGTTTTGTAATGTTTTTACAGGTATAATTAGTATTACAGTATGCAGTTCTGGTTTTACTGGTCTTGGCAGATGCTCTTGAAAATAGTTAGTTTTGTAGCCATATAAAAATATATTTTATTAATCAAAAAGGAGCCCTTGGCTTCTAACAAAAGGTTGGAGGTTTGAACCCCCAGCTACTCTATGGGAAAGAGATGCAGCAGTCTGCTTCCCTAGAGATGTATACCCTTGGAAAGTCTACGGGCAGTTCAGTTTTTTCCTACAGGGTTGCTATGAGTAGGAATCAACTCTATAATACTGATTTTTTTTTTTTTTTGGTTATTTCTTGTTGCTGCTGTTTATTCATCAAAAAGAGGAGAGAATAAGGATACCATATGTGATCTATGTTGTGAAATATTAAGACATATTTAAGACAAGTTGTTGTTATATGATAAATGTTACTGTGAACAAAATCACAGAATCAGAGAAGGTATGTATATGAACAGATAAAATTGATTCCGCTTGTTCTAGATAAGTGGTTAACATATCATACTTTCTCTTTGATTGAGACAATCCTGAGATTACTTGACTCGTAAACCACTGAGATGGGCTCTGATTCTGTGAACTAATATAAAACAGAAGTCTGATTTAGGGACCCTGAATTTTCTAGCATAAATAGAAATATCCTAGACAGTTAAATGAGGAGAAGTTGAAAAGGCAAGTTCAGTTAGGGGAAAAAAAAAATGCCTCTTCACTTAACAGTATAAACTCAAAGGGAGCTCTAATAGAGAACTCTGCATCCATCAGAGTGGACATGCCTCACTCTGATAAATTGTGAGGCAGATATCTGGCTGAAAGGACCAGGGCGGGAGAAAAGAGGATTGCTATGCAAATCTGTAATTCTTTGTTGTTTCATTCATCTGATTACAGACACTTAGAGGAAGTGTCCAAAATAAAATCAACCCCAGACCAGGGAAGGTAAGCTTCTTTTAATTTTCTAGTCTATATTTTCTTTTGGTGTGATGAAGTACAATGCGGTTTGCTCCCACTCGCATTCTCTTGCAGCTAGTGATATATAAGGAACCCGAGGCTTCTGATGATTGCCTAGAAGTTTTCAGTGATGTCCAAGATTGCAGCTCCTGGAGTCTCTCTCCTGTGATTTTCATCAAAGTCATCAGAGGATGGTAAGTAAGCATGGCCTTTGGAGTTCCTGACTCAACAGGTTTGTGTTCTGCAATCTTAATTATCTTTTTGGTCCTTAGGATTTAAGTAAAATTATGCATTTAGCAATGTAAAGGACAGAAAATACTACTTATTAAACAAAAACACAAAAACAGAAAACAAACGGTTGCCATAGAGTTGGTTCTGACTCATAGCAACCCTGTGTTTTATGAAAAGTAATTCATATCGACAGGATGGTGTTTAACTGTGCTTCCAATGATAGGAGTGACCCATGTTTATTATACAAAAATCAGAAAAGTGAAAATACAATTGTCTTTTTCTCATATGCCTCCATATAACATTGTTTGATATGTCAGGGTCCATAGTATGCTTTGTTATTGAGTTTTAAAAGAGGTTGATAAAACTTGCACAAATAATGCTGATAGTCCAAATGAGACTTTCTTTTTAATCTATAAGAGAAAATATTGTTAGCTTCTTAATGACAATTCAGTGAAGGACTATTCTAAAATTGTAACTTTTTTGGACGTTTTCTAACAGATAGTTTTTTGAGTAAGTAAAGAAACTGGTGAAAACATGAATACTTTGCTGGTTTCTAAAATTATTTTGTCAGATAAATTGCCTCTAGAAAATATACAGGAAGTTAAATATTAAGAAAAACTTTTTTAAAAAATTACTCATCTGGCATAGATATTTATCTTTGGTACTTTTTTAATAAACTTGTTTGAAATAAAAAAAAAAGTAGCACTCTAGATATTTGTAATTTAGAAAAGGAAATGTATAGCATTTGTTCTTAGATTTGAAGACTTTGTAGGTTGCACTAAAAACAGGTTTTGTGTAACAATTTTGTTTTTAATAGGATAGTGATTACTTTTCTTTTGTACATTTTGTTTCCTATCTGTTTCCTTACAAGCATAAGGACTATCCTTAAGCATAAGCACATTTCAGTATGTTGACAGATTTTTCTTTCATTTTTGAATATTATTAGGAAGAATATTTTTAACTGGCAGATTATAGTCATTTGTATCAACACATCTATTGATATATCACAATGACTATGGTGTTGTTGTTGTTGAGTGCCATTTCCTCGGTTCCAGTTAGTAGCGACCCTGTATAGAGGCCAAGATGGCCAAATATTGTCTCTCATACTTTGGAAGTATTGTCAGGAGCGACCAGTCTCTGGAGAAGGATATCATGTTTAGTAAGGTGGATGGTCAGAGATAAAGGGGAAGACCCCCAACGAGATGGATTGGTCAAGTGGCAGCATTGATGGACTCAAGCGTGGCAACAGTAGTGAGGTTGGCCCAGAATTGGGCAGTGTTCGTTCTGCTGTGCATAAAGTCGCTATGGGTCGGTACCAACTCGATGGCACCTAACAACACCACCACCAAAATAGAGTTCCTGAGGAGCAAAACTGCTTTCAGAAAATCTACCAAGATTACCCCTTTGGGATCCCAAAGAAAAGAGTCACTGTAACATTTTGAGCTAACCTCTCTGCCTTTAAGAACGCCTGGTGTGGTGTTGTAGCATCAGCATTGAACTGTGAATCGTAAGGTTGGCACATCAAGGCCACCAGTGGCTCCTTAGAAACCTTATACAGGGTCGCTATGGGTTGGAATCTACTCAACAGTACTAAAAACAACAACTCTGGCGTGAATTCATATTTAAGGTCTTCCCCACCTTCCTTAAAATGTTTGGTCAGCCTAAAAACTCTTGTTTTATGTAAGGCATCATTTCCATAAATTTATTGCGAAGCTTCAATGATTTGGGAAGATGTCCACCTGCAGCTACAATTTTGATTAGTCCTGACCTCAAAATCATTTTTTTCCATGACACAAAAAGTATCCTTTTGTTGAAGACAGTCTAATGAGACTAAAACAATTGTATTACTGAGGGAACTCGTCTGCAGCCATTTACTAATCACAGAGACATGTTTTAACACATTTTGTTTGGCATATAAACCTGTGTGCACGTATGAACTGAAACCTTAGTAGCAATACTTTTTGACTCACCCTCATAGTTCATATGTTGTTGTTGTTGCTAAGTGCCGGCGAGTTGGTTCCGACCCATAGCGACCCTGTACAGGGTTTCCGAGGCTGTAAATCTTTACGGGAGCAGAATCCCTCATCTTTCTCCCGCGGAGCGGCTGGTAGTTTCGAAACTGCTGGCGTTAAGGTTCGCAGCCCGATTCGTAACCACTACGCTACCAGAGCTCCTTATGTTGTTGTTGTTGTTGTTAAGTGCCTTCGAGTCGGTTC